CAAGATGGAGCCTTAGGCTGCAGTAGTATGACATTAGATTAGTACCTCTACTATTATGAAAAAAAAAAATACAGGTCCAGACTTAACTGGAAATGCTTTAAAATTTCATCTAAAGAGCACAAGGTGCCTGTTAAAAGGTCGAAAGTGTGCAGTCTTCGAGCATCTTGCCGCCGATAATGCGCCGCCGCTACCCATTGTTGATCGCATGAGTCGAACAGTCCAGCCTCACTTTTCAAATAACAGTTTCTCTCGCTGATGCAGCGCAAGAAATAATAAAAAGAATCACTCCTCTGCGCATTTTTTGAGCGCCGCGACTGGCTTATCATATGGTACGAATCGGGGACCGCCATTGGCCACTGCGCGCCTGTATGTGCTGGGAAACCTGTTTGCGGGGTCCATGTCTTGTCTAGCAGCGCAGCTGAACAATGCTTTTTTCGTGTAATTATCTCCATTATGAATGAAAAAAGGCATTGCTCGCAAGTGAAAGCCGTTGTGCGGTGCGCTCTCTAGGAATAGGCTACGAGCCGCTGGTCCGATTTGCGGCATTTGTTGGCTTGCAAAAGCCACTGCATCAGAGTCATTCACCACCGTCTGCCGGAAAGTTCCTGATAGTTCGTGATGCGGCAATGGATGACGTCAGCACCAATCTGGAGAGGTTGAAAGAGCTCGCAGTGAGAGAACTTAGCAGGGACGACATTGCCATTATGTACGACAGTAAGTGCCACAAGCATGGCTGCAAAATGGCATGACACTGAACTTAGTTTGGATTTCGCAGTCCTGTCGAACTTCTTCTTAGCTTGCAGTTGGCACCAGGCTCTGCCAGATGAAGCGGAAGTTTGGCAAGCGTTTCATGGCCCTGTCTGTGAGCAAAATGTCTGTGAGGAGTCGGCTCAAAAACGCAGAGAGGGACAAACTCATGGTGCTGGAATATTGTAGTCACAGTGACCACTACAAGAAGGATTGTTCTTTTTGGTGTGCAAATTCCATCCGATTTAATAATATCTTTCATAAATAAAAACCGAATTTTGAACTTTAGAACTCGTTTTTCTCAAAACCCAAATTTCTGCATTTTTTCTAATGTGCCCCTCCTTTTTCGGGCACTTCTAGTGCTCGGATCTGCATGAAATTTTGCCCAAATTTTTTCCAAAGTATGACAAATGCAATTATCTAGCTTAAATTTCAATTTATTGTATATTAAAAATTGTATGTATTATGAAGTCTTGGTAGTCCTGGTTGGCGACAGCGTTTAATTGAGGAGAAGACCTCGCAAAACAAACGGGCAGAGCCAGTACACAGACGATGACGATGATGATGACACAGAGTGGCCATGAGGAAGAGGCTAGCGGATGATGGTGATTATGATTATGCAGGGATGAGAACGATGCATGTAACAAACGCCCACACTAATTTCCCCCACTTAGAAGCAGACATCTTGGCCGCCGTAAGTCAATAGTGACGGGGAACATCGCGTGAAAGGTTTCATGCGAGAGATGTGGACAATCTCGGTGCTGCGGTAACGGCGGTCTGTTGGGGCGACAAGTGGTGTCACACGATAACTGACCGGCATGTCTGTTCTAAAACTATGTATGGCCCGATGAAGCGTGGTTGGAATTTGTCATAGAGACCAGGAGTGCGAGTTGGTGTTAAAGCAGCACCTCGTCACCAGGTTGGAAAGACACAACGCGATGGGGTGCGTCATAGATGATCTTCCGCTCGTGCTGTCTCGCTTCAGTATTGATGCGAGCCTGATGGCGAGACTGGGCCAGGCGGGAAATGTATTCTTCGCTAGAAGACTGACATGAATCGCCATAGGCTGTTAAAGAAAGAGACGTCGAGAAAGGTAGTCGGGGTGCGTCCGTACATGAGGTAAAACGGTGAGTAGCAAGTTGTTCGCTGAACGGCGGTGTTGTAGGCGAAGGTCAGGAATGGTAAAAGAGTATTTCAGTTTTTGTGGTCGGGTTGGACGTCACGGCTATCGTGTCAGCAAGGGTTCGATGAAATATTTCTGTGAGACCATTTGCCTGAGGGTGGTAGCTCGAAGCTGTCTTGTGAGTAGTTCCAGAAGCGCGCAGTACTTTCATTTACCATTTGTGACAGGAACACTTTGCCACGGTCACTAAGCCGTACACGAGGAGCCCCATGATGCAGGATTATGGCGTGAAGAATAAAGTCTGCAACTTCTACAGCTGAGCCTGTAATAAGAGAGCACGTCTCAGCGTATCGTGTCAAGTGGTCCACGACAGTCACTATCCATCGTTTGCCAGCAGATGTTACGGGGAGAGGCCCGTAAAAGGTCGACACCTACAACCTCGAACGGAATTGAAGGGCACGAAAGTGGCTGTAGAGGTCCCGCAGGTGCAGACGTCGGGAGTTTACGACGCTGGCATGGGTAGCAGGAACCCTACATACCGCGCTACACTAGAAGAAAGGCCAGGCCAGTAATAACGACGTCGAATGCAGTCAAGAGTTTTTTTAAAACCAAGGTGACCAGCAGCCAAGTCATCGTGGAAGGCTTCGAGCACTTGAAGTCGAAGAGACCGTGACAGTACAGGAACCCAGCGCTGACCGTCAGGGTGGTAAATGTGGCGGTAGAGAACCCCATTGTACAGCTTAAAGAGCAGGAATTGACAACGAAGTCGCACGTTTGTGGATTAGAAACTCTCGAAAGGTGGGCCATCATGCGTCTGCAGTATGGATCGGATTGCTGGTGGGAGATAAATGTTGGCTCGTCGTCCAAAAAGGGTTGCCGCATCGATACAAGCGTATGAACTTTGGTAGATGATGCGGTTGAGTTCTCATCAACGCTGATATGGGTAGGTGGAAGGCAACGAGATAAAGCGTCGGCATCTTGATGTTTTCTACCTGACTTGTAAGTTATGTCAAAGTCGTACTCCTGCAAGCGTAGTATCTACTGACCCAAGCGCCCAGACAAGTTCTTCAGTGTAGAAAGCCAGGCATAAGGCATGGTGGTCCGTAACGATTATAAAGTGACGGCCATGGAGATAGGGACGGAACTTCTGCACCGACCAAACCACAGCCAAACACTCTTGCTCAGTTATCGTGTAGTTCTTTTCCGCAGGGGTGAGTACGCGAACTGGCATATGCAACAACTTTCTCTAGGGAAGACTTGTCGCGTTGTAGAAGAACTGCCCCTATACCAAGGCCGCTAGCATCGGTATGGAGGATTGTCGGTGCGGCTTCGTCAAAGTGGCAGAGCAGAGGTTCAGATGTGAGGGCCCGCTTCAACAAGTCGAATGCCGTTTGACATTCTTGAGACCACATAAAGGAAACGTTGGGAGTAAGTAGCTGGTGTAATGGAGCAGCAATAGAGGCGAAGTTCTGGATAAACCGGCGAAAGTAGGAGGCGAGGCCAAGAAAACTGCGAAGCTCCTTTGGTCTTTCGGGACGCGGAAAGTGAAGGACTGCAGAAATCTTGTCAGGGTCGGGCCAAGTGCCATCTTTGCTAACGACGTGTCCTAAGACCTTGATAGATTTGCTAGCGAAAGAGCATTTCATAGTGTTTATTTGGAGCCCGGCGCTGGCAAGGCACATCAAAACTTGATCCAATCGTTCTAGGTGCTCAGAAAACGTTGACGAAAAGATAATAATGTCGTCCAGGTAGCAAAGGCAACTTTTCCATTTCAAGCCGTGCAGCACGGTGCCTATCATGCACTCAAAAGTTGTGGGAGCGTTGCAGAGCCCGAAAGGCATCACGTTGAATTCGTATAGGCCATCGGGGGTCGCGAACGCCGTTTTCTCCTTATCGTCTTCATGCATGGGAATCTGTCAGTACCCAGAACGCAAGTCCATGCTTGAAAAAAATTCCGCGCCTTGTAGGCAATCAAGGGCGTCGTCAATGCGTAGCATAGGGTACACGTCCTTGCGTGTGATCTTATTGAGCGCCCGGTAGTCCACCCAAAAACGCACAGAGCCATCCTTCTTACGGACCAAAACCTTTACTAGGATAGGTGAAATATAGACATTTTACGTCTATTATTTTTCACGCGTATTACATATGTTGTATGTGCTTCCTAATTATTCATTTGCACTCTACACTTTATTTGAAGCATTATGAACTATGAATAGTAAAAAATACCAGAAGTTTAGGGATGAAAAGAGGGGGGGTGGGAAAAAGATTAAGGTTTTCACTTTGTCATGTTGCAGAGGTAAAACTGTGTAACTTGCAAGAAAACTGATGATATATTTCAAATCAGCATAAAAAGTTCCATAAACAGCTGAAGTTTCATTGCTCTAGGATGAATATTAAAGAAAAAGTGTTTTCGAGTGGCATCTCCCTTAACTGCTTTTAGACTGACAATATTGTCAGCCGAATTGTGATGAATATGCTAAATAACAACCTTACACAATATTACACAATACTCAACAGTATAACAAATGCAAGAAAATACACAAGGCGGCTTCGTCAATGCTCGACTTACCACGAGGGCTTACCACAGATGGCCCGCAGTGCCACGCCGCTAGAGACAACCGTTCGTTTAACCACCACCCACCACAGAGACCCACTTTTCTCTCCTGTGCCGCCACCCAGGCTTGCCGCTAGGTGTCACCCCCGGCATTACACACTAACCATGTAGATGACGGTTGCAATAAATGCTCCCAAGCACAACGCCACCTACTACTCGATATTTGTGAACCCAAAATGCGGCCTATGTGCGAGACACATGCGTCATGAGGTGCAAATAACTTTACAAAGGATGTTAGCACCTTCACAAGTGCTAGTTATATTTCGCTGCATTTGGTCTAAAGCAAGGTATTGAAGAAACAGGAACAGAACCTTGTCTCTTGCCCTATTTTCGTTTTTAACACGAACTCTCAGCATGCCACTCTCCACCTCACAAACACACACATACAGACACAGAAAAAATCAATCATAATCTAGGCTATGAAATGTTGCCTATTTTAGTGCTTCATTTTGGGACATTTTTCCGCTGTAAACCTATTACGCTCGTAAAACCATAAAAACACAGAAAGCCCCACACCTTGGATTTCATGCGGCGCAGCACGAAGCAGGATGAAGTCACTGAAATGGTGCCTTTGCCACCTTTACACGGAGACTCTGAAACAGTTGCAGACACCAGTGGCAAGTGAAAAACAAAAAGAGCAACAACAGGATGTTAATATATTAGTGTTATACAGACAATATAACATTCTATTGATAAAAACAATACCAATTAATATATAACTTCGCCAGAAAAACTAGCTCTTCCTTGCATTGAGCGCAGTACTATGCGAGTATAGCACAGTGCTATGCACACTTATCAAGCTGGTTTAAATATGATTTACTTATCTATATCACAAGCCACACAGCGTTACTTTGTGTCAACCGATTAGCTTCAACAAGTTTCACCGAAATGTAGTGGTACCACTGTGGAGAAAAATAGTTACGGTCAAGCCCACTTATAACGAACCTGAGCCTGACGCAGCATCCAGTTCACTGTATCCCGAAGGTCGTAGTAAATAAAACACAGCTTTTAAAAAAAGTTGCACGTGAAAACACAAACTTTTTATGTCCCCAAAAGTCCATGATGCACGTGTTTCAAATAGCAGAAGCGATAAGGGCAGTCTCGAGTTCATTTAAAACGGCAGAGCGCTCGTTCGCCAAGGCCCGTGGCATAAGCTGCATGAGGCACTCACTCCAAAGTTTCGTCGTTCTCTGCAATTCAATTCCTCCAAATCGCTCTCGCCACGTACTTTCACAATGCCCTAATCCGTGCACGGTTCCGCAGTGTCAGCATCATCATCGGCAGTAATTAAACCATCGCAACAGATGTCCCACCCGCTCTTCCAGGTCGGAGTCGACGACGCGCTGCCACAAATCGCCGCCGAAGTGGTCCTGTTCGCGAGCTTCAGGCTCGGCATCGGGTCCGACGTCAACGAAGTCGGCCTCGCGAAAACAGCTTCTCGCGAATGTAGTTGTCATTGCCGCCCAAGAAATATTCACCATCTCTACAGCTGAATACCGGGACGCCCGAAGCGGCAAGTTGGCTGCCAGGTGGTCAACAGTTATGAGCAAGCGCTCCGCAATGCGGCATCTAACGTGCGGATTACGCTCAAGCCAAGCGGTCACACTTTCGATGTTTTCTTGAGCGGCAGGAAAAAGCGTGCTAGTCTTCCCGTCGGCCATCATGACCACACACGCACACCAAGAGCGAGCAAAGAGCGCGCACACATGTCAAAACGCGTGGAACAGCTCTGGGCCCCTTTCCAGTCAGAAAACGAAACTTATTCGAGCCAGCGTGGCGGGCGTCGCGGAGCGGTGGAGATGCGCAAAGGGGTTGTGATCAAGAGCGGAGAGCAGACTTGCAAGAGAAGGGCATGGAGTTGCGATAAAGAAATGGGAGGATGCGGGGGGAGGGCGACCTTGAAAACCAAAACACACGGGAAGGAGGCAGGTTGGGTAGCTTGCTTGAAAGGTCCGCAAATCTCGCACGTAGAAAAACTTGGAAAGAGTGCATGGTTGCCTGAATCAGTACGCACGGCGGTGTTCGAAGAATCGGTGGCCATGGTCAAAAATCGTTTTGTTGCGCCAGCGGGTTTGCGTGGTCTCACGAACATCGATATTTCGCGATTCGTTCCCCGCAAATTAACAGCCGTTTTAGCGCTTCCGCGCACGCGCGGAAGGCATGCTGAGTTGAGTGCGAAGTGAGCAAAAACAAGTCCTAAACACAAAACGAATTGCAAATTATCAGAGTCCGTAGGGTAGCGTACGCGTGCTGAGCCGAGTGCGAAGTGAGCGAGAACACGTCCTAAACACAAAACGAATTCGCAAACTATCAGAATCGGTGGGGTAGCGTACGCACGTGCACTAGACGCAGGCTATCGGATACAGTCGGTGGCCGACAATGTTGGCAAATGGTCTTGTCACTGCAGGCCGGCGACGTCGACAGTACCAGCGATCAAAAACGTTGTAGATCGGTCTTCGAAAGATCGGTGGCAGTGTGAAACCATGGGCTTCGTCTGGCGATGCGGAATGCTCAGAGTAGCGGGGAGGGGAGGGGGGGACAAAGGACGAAGGGGTGCGTAACAAAAGCGGTCGGGGAGAGCGGCAACTAGAGGGGCGCGGAGTCAGGGTCGGCGTTTAACAATAAGAATGTATGGGCACCTCGCCGATGCCTGATCAATGGTCGAAATCGGTTTCCCGTGAATTCAGCAGACCGCTGACTCCGTTCGCTGTAACTGATCAGCGGCGCTCGGAGACGTTCGTTTTAAGTGCGATTTTGTGCCATTGAACCAATGTATATTTTCACGGTATATTGTTCATTTTAAGCGAAAGTTCGTTTTAAGTGGGGCCGTTATATGTGGGCTCGACTGTATAGCAAAAACAGCTGTCTGTCATGCAGTGAAGCCGGCAACTCGCAGAATTATTAAAAGGGGGCTGCCATGCTACTTCACGAATGCAAGAGGTGTCCCCCGCTGACACACAGTTCCATGAAAAGAAATGGATGAAAATAAATGTTTTTATTTCTGATACAGTCTGAGAGAAACAAGCTCGTAATTTTTTATTTATCTGAAAAGACCGCTAGTGCGACCCCCTTGAAGTTAGTTTTGTCTGCCCTGTTTGGAACATCAGCTACAACACTATAGCTGATGACCAGTGTGACTTTTTTGCAGTAAAAGTGTTCGCACCAACAAATAGCTCAATGCTTTGAACACCTGAAATGCCATTTCTTTATCTGGCTAGATATTGAACGAAGGTGTTTTGTGCAATAGAAATCGAGCTCTGTTGCATGGCCATCAATTAGTTTTTCCACATTACTTAGCGCACAGCTGTTCTTGGTTCCTTTTTATTGAATTTGCTGCCAGTCGCGATGACTGATACACAGACCCTTGCTAAGCTCACATAAACAATCACAACTAAAGCCACCAATAAGACACATGGAGCTATATATTTCGCTGAGCCAACTTCTTGTGCAGCTTTGGAAGCGTCGCATTGGGTGTGTAAAATGCAAGATAGGTTCGAGTGCACTTTAAATTTACAACACTTGAATGGTTGCAGCTGTACAATAGAAGAAAATGTGCTGTATATTAGTCTCCATTTATCTGGTACCACTAATCATCTATCACCTTTTGGGGAGCCCAAGAGTGGGCTGCCATCGGTGGCAAGGTAGACAAACGCATCCCAGTCACCACTGTTGACAATAGTGAAACTGTAGGTCGCCACAGTGCCTGGCGCTTGCGGAACGCCCATGTCCACCAGGTGGCGTGTTTTCTCGAGGCAACATGTGTCGCGCAACTCCACCTTAAGCTCGCCTTCAAGTGCATACAGTGCCACCTGGAAAAAAAAAGGACAAAAAGCAGGAAATAAAATCTAAACAAACATAATTGACCAACACTTCAGTCAAGACAAGTGTAACCCCCCCATTCTCAAGAAGAAGGCGTTATAAAACTGTTCATCCCTGGTGCTATAGCACCCATGAGGAAGGGTCAGAGTTGGACCCAAAACATAAGGATTTTTCACTTTAAAGTAGATATATATTATTACTTTATTTAAATATGTTTGTTAATGTCCCTTTTTGAATGTGAATCTCCACAAGTAGTACACTTAATTAAACTAATATACATCACTGGCTTCATTGTCTGTTGGCTTAATTAGGTCAAGTCTAAAAAATCAACCATTAAATTTTCTCTTTCGCAAAGGTAGTGAACACAGAATGCCTTCACAGCTTGTTGATACCTAATATTGTATCAACTTCTGACTGCGCTATTTGCAACCTTTGTTTTTAACTTCTTTTTCTTCGATGTTAAGCTTATTCTGCTCTGTGGCAACTGTTACCCCTCTGACAAAACGGCCTTCAATGAGTCTGTAAAGTATTGTGAGTAAATAGGCAGACCTATTAATGTGAATGCAGTGAAATCAAATGTTCTATAAGTTGACTCTCAAGTGATGATTTTGACAAACTGGCTGCACATTTCTATAGGCCTTGATTTTCAGTACAATCGAGCCCCCCATATAACTATACTGAGTGCCACGAATATTTCATTGTTATAACCAATAATTCCTATAAACGAGTTGCAAAATAAAAAAAGGTAAAATAAAAGAAAGGCAGGCTGTTGTGAGAGAATGATAACATCAGATGAGATATAACAGACATCAGCAATAAGGATGACACTCTTATAGACCGCAACAAGGCCACATAGAGCCAATGTATGATAACATCTGATATTTAGAATGCCAAAACTCTTCCAAGCCCTAAATTTTTACTGAAATTGCATACCAAAAAGCGCATCAACTCTTTCGTTACCGCGCGAGAATGGTTGCTTTTCATGTCCCGGAAGATCGTTTTTGCCAGTTTAAAAAGTACTGCAGAACGCATTGCAGCATACTAAACTTTGCAGAATGAAATGCTCTTTCCAAAAAATATATGTTATTTTAGAATGAATAAAAATGTGAAAAGTGTGAAATTTTTCGTCACCAACTGGTAAACAGTGTATTAAGAAGCACTATATGTATATGCAAAAATATTCAAAACAACGAAAATTCAGAATATACGTTTTGTAAATAAATGACTCAGGAACAGTATAAAAATAATGTGGTACAAAATGTTTTTCTTCACATAGACAAAGAAATTCAGAACCGAGGTGCTGCTTCATTGCTCAGTGCCATGCGGTGAAAGCATTGCATGGTTTTTCGTGAGACACAAATGTACTCGTACACTCTTCTCAGTAAATTTTCACTGCCTTGCGCTAAGAGTCTCCACGTACTCCAATATAGATGGATACCCATGATGTGAACAATCCCTCTATAAATGAGATGTCCAATGAACTTCGCTATTTCATCTAGCGTCACCTCTTTCCATGACCCACCTCACTCTGCATAGGTTGGCGTTCCAATATATGCATCCAAGCATATTCCTTTGCATCTATGCGCATTACGTAATGAAAAAAAAAAAAAGGACAATATCGTGTGCAGTTCTAAAACGTTTCACACTGCTCCATAGTAAGGGCAAAGATGTGCTCCAGAGGCCTTCTTGTTGTTAGAAAAAGCTCTGCAGCCGTCGCCACCACAACTGGCATAGCCAAGCACGGACTACGCGTGTAACCTGAGTAACTATGAGATTATGATGATGATGTTTGATGGTTTGTGGCGCAAGGGCCATTTCACGGCCAAAGAGCGCCAGTTCATCTTACTAAAACCATGGACAATGATTGTGATAAGCGGCTATACAAGGGCCATAATATTCCTCGCGGTAAGGCGCATAAAAACATACGAGTAATAAAATCATGACCATGCCGTGAAAGGTGTGTGTGGTGTGAATAGATGACAAAACTTGGTGATAATAAAAACGATGGTGGACATGTATGGCGTTAGCACAAGTGCCTCACTCGTTCATACCCTTGTGTCCAAGGGCCGTGAGGCAAGTGCTTTCTCATGTAGCCACCGCAGCAAAAACATCTCTGCAGAGGTCGTGCTACGGAATGCCCGGGTATATGATATGAAAACGAATTTCTTTTAAAAACGCTAACAATGATTTATGACTAAAAAGCGGTTCCCTACCGACGAATATTGCAGGGTGTAAAGGTATATGTTGTCGGTAGGATAATGGAAAATGTTTTCTTAAAGTTTCTAACTCTTTGCACTGGATTAACATGTTAGGGCCGTTAATGCTTCATCACATCTGTCACACAATGGTGGATCGCCACCGGACAAAAGATATGTGTGTGTCGTGTATGTGTGTCCTATCCTGAGCCTCGTTAGTACTACCTCTGTATGACGCAATTTTGATACTGGCAGCCAATGACCAAGGTGTGCCTTAATAATGTGTAGTTTGTTTTGTGTGTGTCTATCCCACTTGCTCTGCCAATAGTCCCCGAGGTTTCGTTTGAGAGACAGCTTAAGATCAAGGGCCGGGATTGATATGAGCGTAGGGGCAGTGCTTTTGTGGACAGATGCAGCGAGCTGATCCGCCTTCACGTTGCCTTGGATCTCACGGTGCCCTGGCACGCAGCACACTACAACATGTTGTTTGAGTGTGTAGAGCGTGCACAAAATGGAGTAAAGTGAGACAAGGACTGGGTTTTTGTGTTTTTTAAGAGTGTGCAGAGCCGTTACCACACTGAGGGAGTCCGTATAAATTACTGCTTTTTGTATTTCTAATTGCTTTATGTGTTTAGCCACCACAAGTATCGCATAAGCTTCCGCTGTGAAGATACTTGTGTCTGGATGTAGAGGGCCAGCATCCGAAAAGGATAGGCCGACAGCAGCGTAGGACACAGAGGAGTTAGACTTGGAGGCATCTGTGAAGAACTCAGGACGTATGTATTTGTGTTGAAGTTCCAGGAAGTATGTTCGGATATGGGCAATAGGCGCATGTTTTGTAACTTCTAAAAAGACACATCGCAGTCTATAGTCTGCCATTGCCACGGTGGCGGGTATGCTACAGGAGCCGTTAAACTGTGTTCGAGTGACACTCCAGTTTCTTCAACTAGACCTTTCAGGCGAACTGAGAAGGGCTGCCTCATCGAAGGCCTGTTTTGAAACAGAATAGAGCTCGACAAATCATTAATAGTAGAGTATGAGGGGTGCTTCTTGTCTGCTTTCACCTTAAGGAGCTAAACAAAGGACATGTAAGTTCTCTGCAGATGAAGCGACCACTCATTTGACTCAACGTAAAGGCTTTCTACAGGGCTGGTGCGAAAAGCACCCGTAGAAAGGCAGATGCCCAAATAATGCCCGGGGTCCAGCATTTTCAAAGCACTTTGAGTCGCAGACTGATAGACAACGGCCCCATAATCTGAGCGGGTGGGAATGAGGCTTCTATACAGATTCATGCGACATTGCCTGTCACTACCCCACGTAGTACGTGACAACACTTTTAAAACATTCATGGCTTTTAAACATTTTGTTTTTAAATACTTGATGTGCGGTACGAAGGTCAACTTGTTGTCCAAGATTAAGCCTAAGAATTTATGCTCCGCATTAGAACAGACAGACGTTGACCGTTCAGTTCAATGTCGGGTTCTGAGTGCATGCCTCTCTTTCGGGAGAACAAGACACACATGCTTTTTTGTGGGTTCAGTCGGAATCCGTTTTCCTCTGCCCATTTGGAGAGCTTGTTTAAACCTAACTGAACTTGCCGCTCACACATTTCCAAGTTGCATGACTTAAAGCCAAGCTGAACGTCGTGGACATATGTACAATAGAACATATTGCGGGGGATGGACAGGTGCAAGGAATTCATTTTGATAATAAAAAGTGTACAACTAAGTACCCCACCTTGCGGCACGCCTGTTTCCTGGACAAATGTTTGGGAGAGAACACTGCCCACACGGACACGGAATGCCAGATTGGACAAGTAACTCTCGATTATGGAAAACATTCTACCGCGCACGCCAAGGTGGGAGAGGTCTCTTAGAATTCCAAAGCACCATGTTGTATCATAAGCCTTTTCGATATCGAGGAACACAGAGAGAAAATATTGTTTATGGACGAAAGCGTCTCTGATCTGTGCCTCGATACGAACAAGGTGGTCTGTGGTGGATCGACTCTTTCTAAACTCGCACTGAAATGAGTCGAGCAAATTGTTTGTTTCATGGAAATGTACAAGTCGACAGTTTATCATTTTTTCGAAGCCTTTGCACAAGCAGCTTGTAAGTGCAATAGGCCTATAAGTGGAAGCTAAAGAAAGGTCCTTGCCCTCTTTCAAAATGGGAATAATAATAGCCTGTTTCCAGGAGGTAGGGATAGTGCCAGAAAACCAGATAGCATTGTACAAACAAAGTAAGGTTTTTCGTGTTTTGATTGGTAGGTTTTCTAACATTTCATACACCACACCGTCAAAACCTGGGGCAGAAGTACTGCAGGAGTTTAGAGATGTTTGGAGCTCAGCTAGACTGAAAGCTTGGTTATATGCCTCGTATCTAGTGTATTTGTGTTCGAGTTTCTGCTTTTCTATTTTTGTTCTGTATTTTTGGAAAGTGTCAGTATAGTGGGATGAGCTGGACACCCATTCGAAGTGTGCACCGAGGAAGTTTGCCTGATCTTCCAAGGTATCACCCTGAGTGTTTACGAGTGGAAGTGTGTACTTGTTTTCCTGCTATCCTACCGACCATGTTCCAGACTTTAGCCTCCTGTGTGTATGAATTGATCCCTGACAAAAACTTCTGCCAGCTTTCTCTTCTGGCCTGCCGACGCGTTCTCCTGCCTTGAGACTTTATTTTCTTGAAGGTGTTAAGATTTTCGGCTGTCGGTGAGTGCCGAAGCAACTTCCATGCTCTGTTTTGCTGTTTGCGCGCGTTTTGGCATTCAGAGTTCCACCATGGCACACGCCGTTTTCCAGGGTGTCCATTTGTTTGTGGGATGCATTTTGTTGCAGCATCAATCAAAAACACTGTGAAGTAGTCGAGAGCAACATCAATGCTTAAAGTACATATGTCACTCCAATCTAGACGAGCGATGGTATAAAACTGTCCCCAGTCGGCTCTGTTTATGAGCCATTCGAGAACACGTGGTGGACACTCAGTTGCTGTAGTTGTGCTCAAAACTACGGGGAAGTGGTCACTTCCGTACAGATTACTGACGACTTTCCACTGGAGTAGAGGCACAAAAGATGGAGATACTATGCTTAGGTCTATGGAGGAGTAGGTGTTATGAGCGAGATTATAATAAGTTGGTTCTTTTCGATTTAGGAGACACACGCTCGACAGGAGAAGGAACTGTTCAATCAGTCGACCTCGCGCATCACATCGAGAGTCACCCCATAGCCTGCTATGCGCATTAAAATCTCCAAGGAAAACATAAGACTCAGGAAGTTAATCAATTAAAGAGTGTAAATCATGTTTTTGCAGCTGATAGCATGTTTTGCAGCTGATTGTGATCAGTTTATCAAAAAGAACCGCTCAAACAGCCACTGCCTCAAGGGATGTTTGGAGTTGTAAGTGTGTGCATGCAATTCCTCGATTCACTATGATGGCAACACCTCCGGATGATGTCATGGCATCATCACGATCCTTTCGGAAAATAATGTACTTACGAAGAAAATTTGTGTGTTTTGAATTAAGGTGTGTTTCTTGTACACACAGCACTTTTGGTGAGTGTTCGTGTAAAAGTTCTTGGATGTCGTCAAGGTTACTGAGAAGGCCCCTGGCATTCCATTGTATAATTTGAGTGCTCATGATGAATGTAAAATATGCTGTGTGTACGAAAAGTGAGTGGCTGTTTAGACAGGGAGCTTGTGTTCACTTAACAGGGCCGTCACCAGGCCCTGTTATCTGCTTTTTTGTTTTCTTGGCGCGCTCCAAGGAGCCACGCCGCTCTTTCGGCACCAAGGATACCGACGTATCCATTGCCTTCTCGGAGGCACTGGATGCCCGCACTTGCGGGCTGTTAGTTCGAATTTTGGGTCTCGCCTGGTGAGGGGAGGCCTTGAGACCCGAGGACTCTGGAGTCTCCGGTCTCTGTTTGGGAGTAGGCGGTGTAGCCTGGGCTACAGCCACCTTGGGGGCAGGTGCCACAACCGCCGGCTCGGTATGCGCGGGCCGAAGGAGTGGCGAGGGCTAGTGCGGCGGTGCCCCCTGACGCGCCGCATCAGCGTATGTAGGTCCATAGAATGGTGCTAGTCTTCGCCGTGCTTCCGTATATGAAATGTTCTCCTTCACTTACAACGTAATTATTTCTTTTTCTTTTTCCAGTATGTGCAGGAGCGTGAATATGCGGCATGGTTTCCTTCGCAGTTTGCACAGTGTGGCGGTTATTTGCAGTTCTCAGACACGTGGCCTAGGACTCCACACTGTGCACAAGTCTGGCGACCACGACAGGTTTTAGAGCCATGGCCATAACTCTGGCATTGGAAGCAACGACGAGGGTTTGGTATGTACGGCCTAATAGATGTCTTCGTGTACCCTGTTTGAATAGATTCTGGTAGTTTACTGGATGCAAACGTGAGTATTAAGTGTTTTGTAGGTGTTTCCTTATTATCTCTTCTGATGATTATTCTCTGTACATTAGTGACATTTTGGCTCTTCCACCCCTCCAAAAGTTCAGTTTCGGTCAGGTCAAGTAAGTCTGCGTTAGATACCACTCCGCGAGTTATGTTCATAGATCTGTGTGGTGTTACGGTTATCGGTACGTCACCAAATGTTGAGAGGCTGTCTAGCTTTACAAATTGTTCTTTGTCCCGAATTTCGAGGAGAAGGTCTCCGCTAGCCATTTTGGTTACTTTATATCCAGCCCCGAGAGTTTCAGTAAGACACCTGGCAACTACGAATGGAGATACGGTCCTGGCTTGCTTTCCAGTTTTCTCGCAGTGAATGACATGGAAGTTGGGAAATGTTTCTTTTGGCTGGTTGAAAAAATTTATATCATCGGTGCGTACCCGCTTTAAGCCGGTACGATCAGACAGTAAGGGGAATGCTCCATGCATGCCTGTCTTATTTTTGTTTAGCAGCGTTGGCGGCCACCCACCACGGAGCCCAACGAGGGGACGCTACAAGTTTGCGGATGCTGAAACCTGCAGATGCCAGCCGTACAACGCCACTATAACCCAATGCGCCTAGGCCAAGGTAGGCTATTTGCACAGGGTTAACCCTAGCCGCCGGGACGTTTGGAAGTAATTGGAAGAGACTAGAGGACAGGACAGATAAAAAGTGAGAGATAAAGACGAAGATGTAGGGAGAGAGAGAAAAGAAAAGGCTACTGCCGATTTCCCCTGGGTGGGTCAGCCCAGGGGTGCAGTCTACGTGAAGCCGGGGCCAAAGGGGTGTGTTGCCTTTGCCAGGGGGCCTTAAAGGTCCCATCACCCAGCGTTGGCTCAACCCCCAGGATCCCCTTTTCCCCGGACACGGCAAAGCCACGCACGGCTAGGCGTGGGAGGGTGTCGAAACTCCCCCGTTAGCTCGGGTCTGTGGTGTCGCTACACACCAAGCGCCTGCTTTCACAGGCGCCCCTGCGGGCAAACTATAAGATTATGCACAAAACTCAGAAGCTATACGCATTTGGGGCAGAGGAGATAGCTTGAGGATGTAAACAAAACAAACCCATGAACGGCAATTCGACGCAAAACATCGTCGCCATAAAACTTGAAGCTGAGGTGCTGTCATCCACGAAATCTCAGCTCGTTCTCACTCAATTCAGGTGGGGTCGCAAGACAGTTTCAAGCAGCGCATGTGTTTTGCAGAGTTGATGCGCACCCATACGTGCATGACAACTGCGTAATAGCAGCAAAAACTAGAAGTGACCCTGTGTCTGATATAACGATACAAGCAGAACCAAAGTGGCTGGAAACTGGCTGCGAGAGCCACCTGCACACTTTATATATGCGGCAGACCTTGGGAAATATTTTTTAGTATAATTAATTTTCCCTGACTTCTAACAACAGCTTTCTATTGATTAGCTGGCATAAATTTCCGACAATTATTACTGCTCAACTTGGTCAAATTACAAAGCTAGCACATCAATTCAATATTTGACTTGCAAAGTTTCTTTTCATTAGAGAACTTCGATGTTACTGTAGCATAATCACAAGGGGCATGCACTTCTGTCAAGCTCGCCAACCTAGTGCATTTTTTCAACTACACATGCACATTGGTTCACCCAAAACTCTGCAAAAAAATGTTGCCCAAGTCGGAAAATTAAAAAAATTCTGAAAGCTGAGTGGCTGAACTAACTACTAGAAAGTGCTGGGTGCACGAGAAAGAAATTTAACATGCCAAAATCGATTACTGAAATGCGTCAATCACAGGTGATTGATTTGAGTAGGCGTGGTAACGAAAGAGTTAGCTATAGCTGTACAAATTTCAAAAACATCTGATCCTTAAAGGGTTCACTAGCTCAACTTTAATGCCCGAGTGGTCCGCTATTCACTCTATCAATGAAAAATGTTAAATCCAGCCACCATGGCTGCGAATCGAACTCATAACATCATGGCTTAGCAGCTCAGCCCCTTGGCCACTAAGACAACATGGCTGGTAGCAAAAAAAAACTTTATATTCACGAAAACATGACTACATTTGCTTCTCGAAGCGCTATCTCACTATGCTGAAAATACACGGACGAAGAGGAACATGCCAGTACTGCAGAGACTTCCTACTAGCTTTGCATGATGTTGGCTAAACAGAATTATGCTGCCACCACATGCTAGGGTAACTCACGTTCTTGATGTCCGTGTGACTACCGCTGTAGCTCTTGATGACCAGCCTTGACTCGATGAAACTTCGTCCCATTGCCAGCAGTCTGCTGCATTTAGCATTGGATACATAGATGTCCACGGTAGCGTTGGTGTCCAAGTGCAAAGTGGATGACGCGTGTTTACCGTTTTCGGTTCGCATTTCCACCTGGGAGGAACAACGATCGTACACAAGGGCAATGCAACAAGAATCAGTGTACAAGAACATATAACAGAGAGCTACTATTACTTCCAGCCTACGAGTATGGTGGTCAGGCAGGGAATGCAGAGCAAATAAAAACAAAAGCAAAATACATTTTCACAGAGGTAGAAATTATGGACACTCCATCAATCGCATACAGTCAATCTCAGATATATCGACCTCAAGGGGATCCTGAAATAGTTCGACATACGGAGAATTTGAGATACAAATATACATATTTAAGGCCTAAATTGAAGAATTTCAGGCCTCAGAAATCGTTACAAGAGTGAGCACAACGATTTGCTCAAAAACAAGGTGCGAACTGCAGGTTACCCCACTTTATTTAGTCCCTAAACTTGCCTTGCTTCTTGCATGCCGTCAAGTTCCAGTCAGCCTTAATATTATTGAAGCTTGTCAAATAAGCGAACTTAGCCTCTTGGGTCACAAAGTTGATTGACGCAGAACGTCGATGCAAGTTTTGTGGCACGACAGAAGCTTGGTTAGCAGCGGAAACGAAAGCGTTGGCACATTCGTAACCGCACGGCTACACTTCTGCGGCACCGGCAACTGGAGCCAAAATCTCAGCCTCGATGCAGTCAGAAACGTTGTCATCTGTACCAAGGAAGTTGCTACTGTCCGAGATGGTGCCCGGAAACACTGATAAGTTCACAGAATTGACTGAGGCATCGTACGCCGTTGTCAGCGGTCATGATGCATCCAAAGACGTCACCTGACCCACAAGGAACGTTCACGGCAGTGTTTTTTTTTTGACATCGCTCCAAGCGCCAGTCACAATTTTCATCGCTACGCGTGGGTCAACGTTCAGTTCAACTCCCAAGTAAGGATCTATCAGGAACGAGGTGAGAAGCCCACAAGGCACAGAAGACGCAATGCTGAGTTCGTCGGAGTTCTCGTCAACATGTTGGCGATATCGATATCACTGTGGCTTTGTAGCTGGCAGCCGCTGCTTTTAGCGGCTTTGATGCGAAACGATAAAAACAAGCATAGCCTCCGAGACACACGTTCTGAAACCGAAAACGCTAAAAAAAACACGTCACAGAATTGCACAGCTCGAAGGCCATGATTTTCAGGCTCGTATGTCATTGTGCGCTAACAAACAAAGAAGAGAATGCGAACCACATACAAACATTGCACAGAGATCATCGAGTCACTTCGCATTCTCTTTCAGTGCTCCAAACAATCGGTCTTTTGGAAAACACTATGCCCGCACGCTAAGACCTGCAGATCGCACATCAAACGTACTGATGTACTCGCAAGTGCCACGCGACGAATCAGATCAGCACGATGAAATAACACCGTTCACAAGTTGTTAGAACATGGCAAAAAATTGATCAATATTTGCTAAGAAAAATGGACTTTCTGGGCTTCAGCGCAGCGTAGCGTTCGATATCGCGAATGTACTGTTGTGCGGGAGTTCGATACACGAGTGCACCAGTTCCATACTTTTGCATGAAAAACGGGAATTTTTCAACTGTTCGATATAGCCAATAATTCTATATATTCGAGTTTGATATACCCACAATTGACTGTATAAAGTTCAAACTGAAAACATGACCCTGCACATCGTATTGCTACGGAGTGCCCCATAACAGGTAGAACATACCGTAACAGTATGTTCTACCTGGGCGCATGTGACACTTGCTGTCAATCAGCAATCACTCAAGAGACAGAGAGAAAACGTCTCACCTTTTTTTTGGTAAGGAGCACGTAAGGACGCCAGGGTACGGGAGCAGCGCTGCGCTTGCTTGAAGGACGCAGTCCCTGGTGCACACGCTATCTCAACAGGCACCAGACTACTGCTCTCAAACTTGTGGTACTCTCAACGATTGCTTTCCGGTTAAAAAATATGAAAACTGGTCCTGTCCCTGGAGCGGCTGTAATACCTTAAACTGGCGTTTGCTGAGCTTCGCGAGATCAGATCCAAAAGCATTAGCCACAAGCCTTACTTCATATAGCAATACTATTCTTCGCTATCGCATCCCTTGCTTTGCTCTTAAGCAAGCTAGACTTCTTTAGGTCATAGAGCGATCTTTGGTAAGCTCATTTCCACCGATTTTACCTGCTTCAAGAAGCAGTTCGCGTAACTTATTCAAAGAAAGTATTCCTTTGGTAGGTGGTATCTTGTGCGGACACAAGAGAAACACGCAGATATGACCACATTTTCTTTATTGTGTGCTTTTTTTTTTACCTCACCTGCAGCCCTCATCTCTACCTTTAACGCCTTTAAGCTTTCTCAGGAACACAAGTTCTAACATTTACAAGATCGTAGAGTGGACCCAAGCTTGTCACTACAACAAGTGTTTCATAAAGATCGCAGAAACACCCGTAAGATCGTAGAACAGATGAAAAAATTCTGGTCAGGTTAGCCGGCACGAAACTGAAGAGAGGCATGCCTGACGATGCCCCAGTAATGAACGTGGCACTACACTCACTTGGAAAAGCTCGTGGTAAGGTTTCCCCACTGAGACCTCCATGTTTATAGAAACAGCATTCGGATTCCTAATCTTGAGACTCTTTACCCTGCAGATGATAAAGAGAAACATAGCAAAAATAGAAAGACTGTGTTGTCTGTCATTAGGGACAGTGTAGTACAAATATGCACTGATACAGGGAGCAAAATGGAAGTACAGTGGAATCCCGGTTTTACGTCCCCGGTTTCACGAGGACCCGCATTTTACGACAGATTTGTCTCGTTCCGGCAAAATCCCCATAGACGCAATGCATTAAAAACCTTAATTATCTGACGTCATTTTACGCCAAACTCGTATATCATGACGATCCACGAGAAGCGAGGGGACCAAATGGCAAATAAAAGGGAAGTGCCACGGGTGTCTTTTGCCGCACCAGCAGGAGCAACCCTTCGCATGCTGAGGGATTTGAAAAACAGTCTATTCCGGCTTTCAACTGTCGTTCGTTCGTCTTCCTTCCACCTTATTAGCAGCGGTGAAAGTCGCGTTAAGGGGCACGGTTGCGGTTTTCCCTATTTTTTTACCCTTTTTGAACGGCCATCTCTCTTCCACTTTCGTTGCGCAACGGCGTCCGAAGGATTTTGTCTAGGGAAGGCTTACCTACTGTGTAGCATCTTAGTTGGGGGGGGGGGGGGGGGGAAGGGGGGCATCATTAGGATGTAATGTAATGCAATCTGATTTAATGCTTCATTATTAGGACTTACGTGAAAGAGCATCTCAAAATGAGGCCTCGTACCTTCAGCAGTGCAGCTGCCGTCTGCTATCAACAATCACCCTTAATAAATGAATGCATCGCTCCCGTTACGGGAGCTTGCACAACAATGCGCATAACTGTCTGTCATGCATCCACAACCCGCGGACACAGCTCCATGAGCGTCTTCTCGAGCACGTCACCTCCCCGTACAATATGGTGTACCCACTATCGAAGATGCGCGCGTTTTCCTGAACAGAGAACCATTGGACACGCAATGCACTCCGAGAGGCAGTGGAGACTGAGGAAAGAGAAGGCGCCGGCCCGCCAGTGCCGACAGCTATGCGCAGCGCCTTCGTGCACGACACCAAGGCAAACAGCGCATACGAACGGCGGCGCTGGGCACCGAGAGGGTGTTGGCGCCGAACGCCAGCCACATGGTATGTGCCACATAATACGGCGGCTTCACGACGAAAGTCAATCGAAAAGCGCTTCGCAAGAGTCCAATAACATGCTTTTGAAATGCGAACTTCTCTCCTGCTCCTAGCTTTCGAAAGGGGCCAGTTTAATACCTCAGGAGAGTCAGCTAGGGCGCCATGGCTTTCTTTTTTCTTGAAGTGCACGTGTTGTCCGCGATTGTATCGCACGGCTGCGTGAGATGTCACGAAAGCGCACAGCGATATGGCTTGGTGAAAAGCTGAAAATCATCGAAGAAGCAGAGAAGCGGCACGGAGCCACAAAAGCAAGTATTGTCCAGAAGCTAAATATAGCGGAGTCTTCATTGAAAACTATTTTGGCTAACAAGCCTTCGATTATTGATTGATTGATTGATTGATTGATTGATTGATATGTGGGGTTTAACGTACCAAACCCATAATATGATTATGAGAGACGCCGTAGTGGAGGGCTCCGGAAATTTCAACCACCCGGGGTTCCTTAACGTGCACCCAAATCTGAGCACACTGGCCTACAACATTTCCGCCTCCATCGGAAATGCAGCCGCCGCAGCCGGAATTCGATCCCGCGACGTGAGGGTCAGCAGCCGAGTACCTTAGCCACTAGACCACCACGGCGGGGCAAGGCTTCGATTCTTCAGAACGCAATCAAGTTCGAACTGAAGTGGAAGAATGCGAAAGAAGGCGAACACGAAAATTTGGAGAAAGTGCTGGTGAAGTGGCTGCTTCAAGCGCGAAGCTCTGCCATCAGTATTTACAGTGCCATTATCAGAGATAAGGTCGACTTTGTGGCGTTGTGCCTCGGCATCAATAATTTCAAGGCATCAAACGGGTGGCTGGATCGCTTTAAGGGGGAAACATGGGTTTTAGGGCTCTCATTTATTTTTGAAACAAATGTGACAAAAGTGGGCAGGCTTACGCAGTTTGTTCTCCAGATTCTAAATATGTAGTTTTTTTTCTATAGCTTTATTAGTTCATTATTTAATTAGGATAACAATATGTATTGTTCCTACTACAATAGAAAAATAACCACCAGTCCGAAATTTACAAATAACATAGGGATCAACACTAGAAAGCACAAGCTACACAACATAGGAAGCACGTTTTTGATTGGGTCATTATTTTTTACTTTAAAGTACACTAAACTTCACAGCTATGAATGTGGCTGTTGCGTGGTCCCACAAAATACTAATTTTAAAAACTTGCATCAAGAAAAATCAAAATCTGCTTCTAATGTTGTGTGCTCCATACATATGGCTTCATGCTGCAAAAAAAAAAAGAATATATTCTGCTATCTCTAATAGTTTCTGATATATTGCAGGGATTTTCATGCAGAGTGTACAATATTGCCATTTTGAGAAAATCAAGAAAACAAAGAATTCTAACATTCTTGATTGATTGATTTGTGGGGTTTAACGTCCCAAAACCACCATATGATTATGAGAGACGCCGTAGTGGAGGGCTCCGGAAATTTTGACCACCTGGGGTTCTTTAACGTGCACCCAAATCTGAGCACACGGGCCTCGACATTTCTGCCTCCATCGGAAATCCAGCCGCCGCAGCCGGGATTTGAACCCGCGACCTGCGGGTCAGCAGCCGAGTACCTTAGCCACTAGACCACGCTGGTGACTCGGCGACCGCCGTTGACCGCAGCGGGTCTGTTATCCTTGTTGTCCTGAGCCATAGCGGAGCTTTCTGAAGTTCACAGCGAACAAACGATCGCCACACTCGCTTCACGAATTACTGTAGCACGAAATTTATTTACTGCCTCAAACAGTCAGTAACACCATGAGAAAATGGCACATGTCCGTGCCAAGGAGGTTCTATACTATGTCTTCTGGAGTGGAGGTGCGCCCCCATAAGTGACGCCGGTCGCCGCCATATTGGAAAAGGAAAGACTCGGAAGCAGACGACTAAGTGCGCTTCGTAGCTCCACCAAGCCCGTGGCATGTTGCGAGCTTGAAGGCCACAGCGTGAGGGTGAAGTCACCACCATCAAAACGACGACAGCGCACCTGGCGGCGTAGGTAAACGAAACCGAACGAAGCCTTCTTTTCCACGGTTTTATTTGTAAGACTTTCAAATGGTAAGCATAAAAAACGTTCCTCATTTAATTTCAGGTGTTCAGAAGCATGCAAAGTGCGAACGCGTAGAAAATTGGAAAGTGACGCACAACAATGCAGTCGCATGCATCGAACAACCAAGACACTTAAAGACTAAAGAGATAGAAAACCTATTCAGTCCAAAGTTCTTGGAACAAAAGTCTGGATGATACTCTTCCGAGAATCACTCACTCAAAGTCCAGCGTTGTTGTCGTTCCGCTGCCCCCGAAGTTTCTCTTCCAGGAAACCTCTGTCGTTCCGCTGCCCCCGAAGTTTCTCTTCCAGAAAACCTCACGTCTTCACCTGGTCGATCTCCAAGCTTCAAACTTCTTCGCCGGAAACACGTCGGCTTCACACACGCAGCTGTTGCCCCGCGTCTTCGCTCGATAGCGGTAGACACATGCTCTTGCCTGTAGCTCGAGCCTTCACCCCTCAGGTGGAAATCCTCTTCTTCTCCTGCTTTTCTCTATGGACAAAACCTTCGCCGACACCACGGCGGAATCCCTACGCGCTCTGGCGCTAACTTCCGTCTTCTCCTGATCTCCCATCTCGGCTGCTCGATTAAACACCTTCCGCGCGAGATTCCAGAAAGTTCTCATCATTTCGTCGGCGCGATACGCAGCGAAGGCCTTTACTTACTGCAGCGAAGGTTTTCATGCAGTGCGATGGATATATCAGCCAGCGCTGGACAGCTTCTGTGCTCCGGGCATCTGCGTTGGGGCTATGCATAGTACGTATACCTTCTTTGCACATGAACGCTGATGCATGCATATCGTTCACTGCTGTTTGTGCTAAAATGTTACTTATGTCGCCTTTATTTTGTGTAAATGTCGATCGATTGACTTGCAATAAAACGATTTATTGTTGAAAGCTTGTGTGACCAGCGTTGTCATTTCGTTCAGCCTGTATGCGGCATCACAACTTACTAAAGTAAGTATGCAAGATACTTATGAGCTTACATTGCGCAGTTTACAGCAATGTACTATGTGGAAGCGATAGAAATTGGGAAAGGGGGCTGCTAGAACAAGCGGGGGTCAGCCACGACGCAGAAGCAGACGACGACGATGTCGTCTGCTATGCGGAAGGCCAGCCGCCATATGAAACACCCTGGTGCTTTTGAAACCTATTTCATTTTATACGCAATTATAAATTATACAAACAATATTCTTGAGTACATTTGGTTCAAAAATATATTTATGTGTAGAAGGTTTGATTGGTTGATTGATATGTGGGGTTTAACGTCCCAAAACCACTATATGATTATGAGAGACGCCGTAGTGGAGGGCTCCGGAAATTTAGACCACCTGGGGTTCTTTAACGTGCACCCAAATCTGAGCACACGGACCTACAACATTTCCACCTCCATCGGAAATGCAGCCGCCGCAGCCGGGATTCGAACCCGCGCCCTGCGGGTCAGCAGCCGAGCACCTCAGCCACTAGACCACCGCGGCGGGGCTATGTGTAGAAGGTAATGAAACCTTTTTCACTTATTAGTAAAATAGTCATTTTGCAATCTTTTTACGGTTCCCTACTGAACCCAGACGGCGCTAGCGTCGCTTCCAAATTGCTATCCCCGTTGGCTCTATGGACATGTCACTCCACTGGCTCCGCCCTCACAGTGGCCTGTAGAGACTGCGACGTGCTTTTGTAAAGCAGTTAAAGATTTTACAAGGCCACGGAGACTTCGCGAGTCACTTATGGCTGCACAAATCGCATCAAGAAGACACCTGGGATCACTTTTCATGTGTAAGTATTCTCTCTTTGTTCGCTGACGATCGCCTGTTTTTTCGCGTACACTGTTAAATTACAAACAATATGAAAGGTTCGCATGCGTGTAATACATGCGTATAACTGTATAGAAGGTAACTTGAAGCTTTATATGCTCACTGACACGACGTTGTTCATAAGTTTCAAGTTTATGGACGAAGCACTTGCCATCTATGGCTGCATGTATCAAACAATTGAAACGAGTAGGACATTTGAATGCCCGTTGAATTCCAAGTTTTCTGGTGTTGTCTTACAAGGCAAGACTGACGGCGTGCATGCATATTTTTTTGGCGAGTGAATATCGAACTTGGTGCATGCTTATCGAGGAATTCGCAAACGTAGAGAATCATTCTATGCTGTGATTATCGGCATTACAGGTTTCCGAAAGACAGTGTGCTGCGTTCTGTCTGAGAACGTGCTGTTCGAAAAAATAGTTGGAGGGCTACGGACGGTGACCACCAGGGGCCACGACATGGTGTCCTCCAACAATATGAAATTTTCAGCAAATATAGTATTAATTAAATAAAGATAAGCAAGGGCCTGTTGCACTTACACATATACGAAGAATGGAGTGTAAAAAAGTACTTCGGTGCAAAATAAGCCCTAGATGTCCCCGGCTATGACATTGTCACCACCAGTGACTGCTATATTGCCATGGCATGTGCGACGTGTGCAGCGAAGAATGAAGGTGTGTTCAACCAAAGTTTCGGCCACTGTGAATTGTTCCATTTCGACAACAAGCTGAATGAAGTTTAAATAGCTCAACTGCGTGCTCACCTGACCACACAGCAAAATAGGCAGAATGCAGACTCATGCACATTAAAAAGGTTATGTCCCGCCTTGTAAGAGCACAGTGTTGTCAGACTCTCAGGCAGTTTGAATTCATAAAAATAAAAATCTAACTGCCCAATCAAATGCCCTACAATTTCACCAGCTTGTTTGCAAATGCTCAAGGATTAGCCCACATAACAGTGATTATGATCGAAAAATCGGTGTCAACGCTCCTTTCAGGTCACAAAAGGCTTTTTAAAAAAAAATGTAGTACATACAGTTGAACCCTGTCCATTGAATTTACAGTAAACCTTACCATAGTTACAGTACATCAGAATAAGGTATAAAGCAGATTCCTAGAGAGAAATAGTACATTGTTATAAAATGAAAACTCCTTCACATTAAATGCAAAACCATGCCACTGCTTTTCATGCTTGCCAATTTTACTCAAAGCTTGGAAACTTATCTTTAGTAGAAAATGCTAGTGGTCCCTTAGGCATGACCCTGTTTTACATTCATTTTTTTAAAGGAGAAGGAGGTGATAGTCCCTTCAACAGTGAAGGTTTCAGCTTATTTTTTTTGTGCCATGTCACGGTGCGCAGCGCGAAAGCTCTCGCTGACCGTTGCTGAATTCTGATTAAAAAGTCCTGCTTAAAAAGTCCTGCTTAAAAAGCAAGTTAGAAAAGGACATTACAGACTACTTCAGTAATGAAAAATTTGGTCTTTCAGGCATTGTTACCGAACCTTAAAGTGCGCAAGGACCAAATTTCACGTCATTAATTTTAACTGGAACTTTTTTTGCACAATGCACAATCTATATTGATCTATGCATCATGTATCAATAAAACTATGCCTACCACCATTGAAATAATGACTTCATACTGCAGAACTTGGTTGTTTCATGACCAGCAAACATATCTTAAAGTGAAAAGAAAAAATGAAACAGGAAAAGAGAAGCTCGATTTCAGCTAATATGACAATCAGTTGAGCTAGGGATATGAAAAATGTGACACACAAGCCTACTGCAAAGTATATCTTACTTTGAGGCCAAGTTGTGTAGGTTTGCCCACAACAGGAACCTGCAGTTGCTCTCCAAGGTCTTAAGCTTCTTGCAGCCTCCAGTTGCACCATGCTTAGAGAAAGCACTGGCCAATGCTGTGGCATCTGATGTAGCATGCTGTTTGAAGGAGCTCACCAGGTTCACAAGGGCCACCTTGAAGCCCTGTGGTGTAACAGTGGCTTCCAGAACGCTGCAAGAAGTGGGAGATTTGGCTTCAGGTTTATCATTAGGTTGACAAAGGCCACCTGATTTAATCAATAAGGACGTGAAAATATTCGAAAGTTCTCTCCAATATCTCTCCAATAGTGTTTGCGATTTCATTCGATTCACACTAGAATATTGCTATTTGAAACTATTCGAATTTCTCTAACACAAATAGAGTCAACATCAGATTGACAGTAGCCACTTGAGATTTTCAATAAGCTTCACCCCTCATATTGTGGCAAAGCTGCCTTTCAGGCTCTGCCACGATCGCAAATACATTGAATAAGGAAAAAACTGGTTCCAACCTGGAGATGGTAGCTGTGGCAAAAATGGGGCCTCAATTAATGCTATATATATATATATATATATATATATATATATATATATATATATATATGACGTAAGAAGGCAGGGATGATTAGAAGAAGTAGATGAGGAAGAAGTGCTTGATGGAATAAACACGGCGTATGAGCCAGGCCACGTCTCCTATTCATCATAGCGTCACACGAGTCGACAGGATGGAGACCTGCCAGCCCCTTCATCAGTCGCACATCATCGACAAGGTTCTCCGCAAGACACCCTGACCATAATTGAACTACCGAACCAGCACCAGCAGTACAAATCGACGAGCATCATAAACGGCATCATCGACTGACCTTTCCATCCCCAAGTACACTGGAGCAGCGGACGATGGACCCGTGCAGGACTGGTTCTACCTGTTCGAGCTCCACGCTACCGCTGCATCATGGTCGGAACGGGAGATGGTCGCCAACTTTACCGACTACGTCTCCGGTGAGGCCTTCAAATTCTATCTCACCCATATATTTCAAAACAACGAGTCATGGGAAAAGATCAAACAAGAAATGATCGTTTGGTTTAAAGACTATAGTGACGACTACGACGAAGACTCTATTTTAACCCACCGCCCCGCCGCGGTGGTCTAGTGGCTAAGGTACTCGGCTGCTGAACCGCAGGGCGCGGGTTCGAATCCCGGCTGCGGCGGCTGCATTTCCGATGGAGGCGGAAATGTAGGCCCGTGTGCTCAGATTTGGGTGCACGTTGAAGAACGCCAGGTGGTCTAAATTTCCGGAGCCCTCCACTACGGCGTCTCTCATAATCATATAGTGGTTTTGGGACGTTAAACCCCACATATCAATCAATCGATTTTAACCCACCATGCGCAGACAATTGCACTCAGTCGTCAATTTCGCAGGCAGTCTTCAACCCTTCGAACGCACAACAAGATTCGACCACTGGCACAAGAAGAAGTGCACACGGGTTCAGTGACAGACGACAATGCGTATTTTGGGGAAAACAAAACCATCGAGCAGGCCTCCCTTCTGCACGAAAGACGGCATTTCCGAAGTCATCGCTCCAGCATATGACACGAGACGTTGCTCAATCACCTGATGTCCGTCACTGTTCGGCTCGCGTACGTGGTCCACCACCTCGGTTTTCATCACGCGGTTCTTCAAGCACTCTTAATACTCACCACTTGCCTTATAACGACGCCGTATTCATGGTAGATGACCTGGCGCATCGGGAAAATACCTTGTCAAGCCACTGCCATTCCGAAAGCCATCGTACTTCAGGAATGCGTAGCTCAATTCTCCCACAAAGAAACAAACATACAGAATCGGAACCACGTCAAGCCATATTTGCGGCGATGTCATCCTCGAGAACTGGGCCAACCCAAAGTCGAAACAGTATGGAGTCACCATTGAATGGAAGTCTCGTTGATAAAAACGAAAATGTATCTACTGCTTTCCTTGACACAAATGATGCTTGCAATGCACTCGTAAATAACGCTGGGACTACCGACAGCGTCTTCTCATTCAATGAAGATGACCACCCGCAATTTTCTCAGCGCCATTACCACACCAAGATAAGACGACGACGAACGAAAACTTCAAACCATCCACAGACAACCGCACTCAGTCGTCAAAGTCAACAGCAGCCTTCACACATTGACCAACCTCCTGCTTTTCCATCGCGTGGATCTTCGGTTGCTCATAACGCCCACCTCGCGTCTCAAACGTTCACTATGGTCGGAACAGAGCAGAGAAGCTCGGAGCTTACTCAGTCAAGCACGGGACCTACAGTTCAGTTCCATACGCCAGAAGAGCTCGCATCGTTCATTGCACCTAGACAGTCATTCCCAACTAGAATCTGACCAAACCACGCCTATTGTGGTGTCGCCATTGAGAGCACAGCCATCTGAAAGCCCAAACACAGGAGGCCCGGAAGCTACTCTTGCAGGTTGCCAAGTGCCAGAAACCTACGTAATGAATGTGTTATGCCCGGTGTTGTCGTCGGCCCATAGACGTACGTGTAGGTTGCGGTAGTCCAAAAAGCTCAGACAGCCTCGAATGGTTAAAAACAAGTTTATTCCTATTCGGATGGAGGCGCCGGCCGAACTGCCGGGAGAAACGACGGTGGCTCGTTTGCGCCGAGCGGGGGAAGGGGAGGAGTCAACATCTGGAAGCAGTTTCAGCATCCGGTCCTTCGCGGGTTCGGAGGCTCGCTCGCGACACAGGGGTGCTTGGAACAGAACAGAATGCTATCACAGGAGCCTCTGATGTTCCTCCAGTCAAATCTGTCCTACCAACTTCGCTGCCTGAAAAGCGTTGCAACAGCTACCAACTGAACATTACGTCATATCGCCAAGGAAAGCATTGTCTTATTGCAAAAAGGCTGCCACCTCAACACTTATTGCAACATCAGCAAGGTCAGAACAATGAAATCCCCCAGGTTAAGCGTCTTGTTATTCGACACGAATAACTAGAGACTTCGGAAAAACACACACGGCGTCAAGAAAGACGTTTACAAACGGCTCAACCGAAGCGACAACATATTCAAGATGTCTCACTGGAGACAAAGAAAGCATTGAATGCCAGACGTTTTCCCAAAGGATGTCGAGTAAGTTTTCTCAAGCAGAGATCAATACTCAGACAACATGACATACGACGACGGAAAAGGCGCAAACCAACACCCTGTATTCCAAAAGGACGTGGAAATCACTGCAACCTTGGTCAACAAACACGCAAACGGGTGGCGTTGCATGTTGTTGCGAATGACGGACCGATCCCGCCGAAGCCACCTCTGTTGCGAAAGACGGCGATGCCAACACGGTCCCAAGGCGCCACTGCTTTCAACTCCGCCGGGAAGGTCACCAGTCGTTTGGTAGCGTATGTTTCTCAGCTCGCGACTGCTTCTGCGCAGAGCTGATAAGACGAGCGGACGAGACGACGGTGAGTTAAATAAGGTTATGTACAGCATATATACAGAGGCGTTACAATTTCGGCACTGGGGCCGACAGAGACTCGAAGAGCCGAGCTCTCCTCTAACACATAGGTCAGCCTTTCGCCTAAGACCGCTGACTCACACACATGTCGGCTCTCCGACATGGGGACTCCTCTCTCAGGACTGCCGATCGCGACGCGCCGCAGGGCTTCTTTTATTTGCACCGGGTCCAACCAAAATGTCCAATCAGAAGCGCCGCTGGTCGTCAGGGCAGATTCCTCCAATGGGGTCGCCGCGCCATGCGTCAGAACCACCAGACACGAGGACGCCGCTCGCTGTCACGTGCGCAGCTGACTCAATGCACGTGGGCCAGGGATGCGCCGCGCGTGTTCACGCCGTCGAGTTGTTCGCGCCAGGCGGACTGCGGGCTGGCCTTGACCCAGATTGCCTTTTTCAGAGGCACGGACGTTTGACGAGGACTCGCTGGCATAACAGCACCCCCCGCGCCAGACAATGCACGGAAAGACGAGCTGCTTCCACGGGGCTCGGATGTCAGGTGCGCTCGTTCGCCAGGTCCCTCCAGGTTCGCCTCCAGGGCCATGGGGAGAATACAGCTCCAAACTGTTCCGGGAACACATCCCATTTTTGACGACGGATCCCAGCTCCACTGGCTTGTCGCCACAACTTGTCGACCAGCTTCACTCGTCTCTTCTGACCTTCTTCGGTTTCAGCACTTGTCGATGGTTCTGCAACTTGCCAAGAACGGATCGACAACAGACAACACACGACACACGCAAGTGCCTTCGGTCACCCGACAGAACACCAGACAAAGTATAGTACAACATATACCTATCTACGTGTCTATCGGAATTTTGTTCCCTCTACATCAAGAGGCACATGTGGGACACAAGACTCTTAAAATGACAACTCAATTTTTTTTTTTTCCACGTACAACAACGTAACGAATTAGAATACCACAAAGTTGGCCCCTTGAGATTACTCTGAACGAGAGCGCTCAGCCCAGGTCGTGATGAGGTCAAAATTTTGCCCCGAATCGCCAGCGAGAAACCGAAAGGTTGAGAAGTTACTAGCTGGAACGCACTGCTCAATGCACCTGCATTAGCGTTTACCTTTCCTTTTTTTTCTTTAGCGAACGTCAAAGTTGCGCTGTGGAGCAACATGCTCCACTTCAGTAACCGGCCACTTTAGGCGACGATACCTATGCGGCACCAAGAGCGGCTCACACTTTCGACGTTGCACAGGGGAACAACGAGACGGCTTGCTACGGATTGACTCCTCACCGCTTAGCTCGATATCGTGTTCGATCACGCTCATGTTTCCGGGGCGGTCCGAAAACACGTCTCCAAACTCGGAAACAATCTTTCTCAGGTCCTCTTTCTCAGGTCCTCCTTCACTTAAGCTAGGCCCTAGGTTTATCTGCTCCCGGATTACTTTCGATCCCCCTTCGATTACCTCACTAGAACTCAAATTTTCTGCTTCCTCTTCCTCTGAAGCATTCAACAACAGATTTACGACCGCTTGATGTTGAACGTATGGTTTCATCAAGTTGTAAATTCTGTCCGGCCGCCTTCCTAATTTCACTTCATAATTTGAATCGCAAGGCTTCGATAATACTGTGGCGGGCCCTTCCCAATCAACCTCAAGCTTGTTCCTTTTGGACGGCTGCAGCAGCATTACCTGATTATCAACTTCAAAAACGCGCTTCTTCCCCGATTTCTCGTA